ATTAGAATCAATTCTTAGAAATGCTGGCCGACCAGATGGTTACGGTGTGTAGATTTTAGTATTTTCATATGAGTAGGTATTTAGTCTCAAAAATAGAGTATAGCTTATAAATATTATTCATTAAGTATTTTTGGGCATAAACCAGCATTTACATTTCTCTATCGATCTCTTTAGATAGAAAAAAATTTTTCTCTAAAATAAAGCATGCAATTTGTGCAATTTTTTATAAAAATTATGGAACTTATTATAAAATTACTGAACGCTGGTCAGCAAGCACCTTATTTTATAATTTTTAAATAAATTATTAATTAATTTAGACCAGCCGTGCTCAGCGCAGGGCACTTGCCTATTGAATTCTGCCAGCGCAGGGCACTTGCTTATGGAGTTCTGCCGGCGTTGGGCATGCCTGATTTAGACATTGCGGCTTGTTGAAAGTTCTTTAACTTATAAACTGTAGCTGTTATATGAGTCGCACTATTTTGTGTTTGAATCGTAGCAAACGCACGCAAATAACAATCTAAGAACAACACAGCACCTTTTGCTTTGGGCATTTTTTGTAAATTTCCTACACAAAATGTGACAAGCGTGTGCTAAAATTACGAAGGAAAACAAACAACAGCCGAGCATGACATAATCTTGGTGAAACCTGCTAGCAGACTGAATCGAAATTCGCTGCTTTGCTTCTGTATACGTATACCAGACGTGGGCACTTGTTTGCCCGCGCAGTAGCGAAAGTGCGAGCGCGGGCTGGAGAAAGGGAAAAACAGTTTACGGGAGGAAGGGTATGAAAAGTTGCGAAAAAATTACTTATACCCCACCGACAACATGTTCATACATTTTCCTCATATAAGGCTGGTATGCAGCTCTCAAGAAATCCGTCAGGAAAAATTTGCCATTATTTCGTGTGTGTGTCCAAGGAATTATGACATTTTCGATACTTCACAGCCTGTTGCCTCACTCTTTCCTCAAGAAATAATGGAACGGGCATATACATGATTCAATAATACAAGGTTAGATAATTATTGACAGCTGCGGTTTGGCACTCCCTTACAAAAGGTTGCATTTACGAAGGACAGAGAAAGGGCAAGAATGCAATCCCTTGTTTCGAAAATGGTAGTAGAAAAGTACGCAAAGTAGGCAATTAGTAGTGAAATTCCTTTCGTAAATTCTAATGTATTTGCAGGAAATCTGGCATTTTAAACGAAATGTTGAACATAATATTGATATATCTACGTGAATTACGTAATTTATATGCTATTTAGCCATATAAAAACTACAAAATAACTCAAAATTAAAATAAGACTACTATGAGATTGATGTAAACATCCAATGCTTAGGTTTTCATCAGTTAAATATGCTTCATATGCATATACAAATAAACAT